ATTGAAACTTTGCAATTATGGTCTGACAAAATGTGTATGTATTTGATCCTATGTGTGGCTGTTTATATAAAATGACAACAAAATGATAGTGGTTCATAAAACAATTAGCACCTTATATAATGATACCAGATCATTAACATAAACAATTCATATAACAATGCCCAAAAATAAAAACATGTTTTTATATAACAATGCCAGATATCTGAAATGATTAAAATTTTATTTTCATAGGATATTTCAGAATTAGTTGCCAAAAACAGATTTAAAAAAAAACTGACTTAAGTACATAGTCGAGCAAATTACTCTGTATTTAATAGAGGTGTTTTATAACATTGTCTTTTGAAATAATCCTTTTGCAAGCGATCCTAAAATCTAAGGAAATAATGAAAATTTTTCAGTAATTATAAAAACAACTATATAAAAGCATATTTATTACTTCAACTATTATGGAAATCATGGCTTCATTAACAATATAGAAATTGATACTGAGATGTTTGTTAGCTTGAAATATTTATGAATAAAAGCTAAAGATTATTAAGTATCCATTTTTAAAATTTTTATCCCACATTTATTGTCTAATAAGTTATTCAAGGCAGTGAACGCAGATAATACTTCTTCCTCCTCCTATTATCACCACAACAGTCCTCTGGGGTAGGCTGAGCTGAAAGTGATTGCCCAAAGTCACCCAGCTGGCTTTCATGCTTAAAAAGAACTCACAGACTCCTTGGTTTCTATACCAGAACTTTAACTACTACATCAAAGTGGTTCTCATATATATAATGTGACACTCATTTTATATTGCATTAATTATATTATACTGCATTTTATTTCTCATATAAACATAAGAGAACGTTCCTTACAATAAAAAGTGTTTATATTTACAAATAATATATCCACTGTAAAGAGATATTTCAATTACAGAATTACAACTTTCTTTCACTTTAATTTATTAAGCCAAACTACAAATAATTTTAACAGACATGGGATGAAGATAATAATGTAAATTAAATGACTATAAACTCTGTATCACACTTATGAATACAAATATGCAAAAAATCAAGCATATAAACTCAGAACGAGCTTCAATTAAGTGATATTTTTTGTTCCACCATCAAAAATAGCCATTTCTGATTTTCCCAATTCACAAAAGACCAAATAAAAAGATATATTTTTAAAGCGTATCAAAATCTTATTTACTCAATGTGTATTTTTACTTGTGTGCTGCTATTTGCATATATCTACTGGAAATATAGAGAACAGTGAAGTATGAGTTTAATAAACAAAAAACATACAACTGTTCAATGTAACTCTTTAAATGCTAACTGCTACCACAAACCTCAAACAGTAATGATTTCCAAGCTTCAACATGCATTAATAGGATACGTGTGAATATCACTGTGTACTGAGCTTAATTTAATATGATACAAGTTATAATTATTACCATGCTGAACACATGTATAGCTCAATGCAGAATAGTAACCGTCACTGCTATTATTTTTGAGCATCAAGTTACCTAATAAATCTGCTCTTCTCCATAGTCTTATTTTGGGTGAGGGCACCAACCTGATTGATATTATCAAGACCTGGATGGGCCCAGAAAAAGATATTCCCTTTTGGTTAATATATCCATTGTGGTTTTAGGTTTTGCATCAGTTGACTATTATTACCCACAAGTTGTTGAGGGTGCTCTGAGCTCTGCTCTGCAAATAACCAAATAGGAGAGTCTCTGGTTGAAGTAAGGCTTTTAGAAATCACTGCTATTGAATTGTCCTCCTTGCTGCACAGCATCATCTTTGCTTGAGTTGCTGTATTCCACTGCTGGGATTGGGATGAAGTCCCTGAGGCTGGTAATTCTCAGGGACTTTAGCCCATCTCCTTGGAACACTGGCTTAGGAGCTCTTTGCTTCCAAGTTATGCTGCACCAATCCTAAATTTGTGAGGCCTGACGCATACTGGGGATTGTACATTAGAGTTAGTTTTTCTCTTGGGCAATTGTGATATGATCTAGTGTTGGAGGATATTACTATCAGTCCATGGTTGCCCTCTTGCTCACTGGTGCCAATCATTCCAGTAGGTTGATAGGGCTTGTTCAGTGTTGCATCCAAGGTGACTGGGTGGATTCTGATTACAGGGTAGCTTGGGATTTTCCTTGAAGATCAAGTAGGCTGCTCAGCCAAGGTCTTGGTTGCAGCCTGGAACAGCTCAGTGACTGAGGCCTTGCACCCATAGCTCCTTTGTGAGCTGAGTGGTGATCCCAGGGTATACTTTGATTTCTGAGGGACTGGAGATGAAGTGCCAGAGAGATGCCTAGAGAGTTGGTGGAGGCAGGGAAAATGCTAACTGTACTAAACATGATTAACAGACCGTATTTGGCTGAGAGAGGCAAACCATTATTTCTCTGTCCTTATTGTGTCCACAGATACCTGCCTTGTCTACAGTGATCCATTTTTTTACTGGGAGAGACACATCCCATGAATATCAGGAACCATAGTGATAAGTATTCATGCTATCTACAGATAATTCTGATTCACTTAAATAGATCTATGTAAATCTTAACCCTAGCATTGCCTTGTTTACAGACATGTAATGTTATCTGCCCTAATACTGTGACTCCTGAAAATATCCTTCAAACTGTGAATTCAGTCATGTTTTTTAAAGTTCTCCCTGAGTTAAGATGGAGGTAACCTGTGGTTGTGGCCCTGCAATGGTATTGGTCTTTCTGATGAAGGAGATGATCTCTCCAGTGTTGAAGGAGGCAGTGGGTATACTCCTTCTTAGGGGGCCATTGCTGGATTTTATATTGTGGACAGTTACCATCCAGCTTCCAACCTTCGCTTTGTGAAGAAGGTTGTTGAGAAGGTGATCAGAAGCAGTTGCAGAAAATCTGGAGGAAGCAGATTATCTGGATCCATTTCAATCAGATTTCAGGCCAGTACTAAGACAGTATTGATTGCAAAAAAGCTTTGCATTTCTAGCAAAGCTGAAGGAAGACAGTGTTGCCATTCTTGAGCTTCTTGATCTATCAATCATGGTATCCTCTTGCACTGGTTGTGTGAATTGTAAGAACTGTGTTGCAGAGTTTACGTCCTTCCATAGCAGTCCTTCCTAGTCTCAATCTGGACTGCACATCTGAAGTTGTCACTGTATTAACCACTCTCTGGAGACTGTTTGGATCTGGATGGGGAGGAACATATTGAAGCTTAACTCCAATCACATTGAGTAGCTGGGCTATTTAGTTCCCTAGGTTTGGAACGTTTTCATCTTTGGTCTTAGGTTGCATTCCCCCATTTGAGACTAGCAGCATCCTGGTCTTGCAAACTACTACTGAAAAAGCCATTGATAGTTATGACCAGGATCATTCTATAGGCTCATCTTATGTACCAGCTGCACCCTTGCCTTAACTGCGAGGCTCTTCAGACAGTTACTCATGCTCTTATTATCTCATGATCACTAATGCAATGCAGGCTCCATAGAACTGTCCTTGAGGACCATCCAGAAGCTTCATCTGGTTCAAATACAGTGGCACAGGTAAGTTATGGGCTTCCTGCATTTTACCCATGTCATCACTGCTTCACAACCTTCATTGGTTACCAATTGGCTTCCAGGTGCAATTCAAGGCGCTGGTTGTTATTTATAAAACCTTTCATGGAATAGGGCCTGGTTATTTGAGGGAGTGCCTTTCTCTGTTCCTGCCAATTCAATGCAATTAGGCAGACTGGGTGTAATCTGGCTTTCTTAAGTCAGATGTTGCCAACTTGTGAGAACAAGGAACCAGGCCTTCTCTGTCACAGTTCCTGCATCCCCACGATGATACATCTGGCTCCTATTCTTTGAAAGTTCCATAAGTCTCTGGGCTATAGTGTTTGTGAAACCCATGGCAATGTTTTGGTTTTTATTCAGGTGGTTTGACAGAGCACTTTTTTTAATATCATGTGTTCTTTTAAAGTTATAAACTGCCCAGAATTTTTTTAGAATCATGTCACCTTGAAATTTAATAAATAGCATAACAAATACTAATCTTACATTTTTTTTCTTATATTTTGGCTAATATTTCTTTCCATGTTAAGCTATTACTCTCAATGGTAAATTCAACATTTTACTGAATGTTGGGACTACTAAACTGATCAGTTTATATCCATTTCAAAAACTCTGCATTATTAATAAAAAGAAATAACACTAGCAACATTATAATGAACAAGGTAAGAGGGCAGTAAAGGAGGAGCAGGAAATAATTAAGCAATAAAACTCCATGCTTAATAATATATTTTTGCTTTAGGAAGTAATATAACAGAACTAATTTTAAATATACTGCTTGGTAATATCACATGTTTTGTCTTTTAATATCATTTCTGCCAAAAATTCAGGGAACACTGAAGATAGTCACACTAGCAAGTTCATTAAACATCTTTTTCAGTAAAGCATGTTTATTTAGCTTTAAAAAGGTGTTCAGGTATGTCAGAAGAACAGAAATAATGCAACATCTTTCTAGGCTAAGTTAAAACTATCGGACATTAATAAAATATAGGGTAATTGCCACTGGGACAAAAATCTTGCAAAAAGAAAACTAAATCACATGCCCAAGTTAAGGCCAGTTCTATGAAATTAGGGAAAGCATTCTTGTTTAATCAAAAGGTAAACTGAATACTATGTAATAAACCCAAGCCATTGCAATGGTATCATGTTGTTATACTGAAGTAATCTTGGTATCAACTTTCTATGCCATGTCAATGATATAACTGTGATTATAGAGTTAATTTATTCCAAGTTGAAAGTTGAGGATAAAGGAGGAATAGGAGATACTGATGGCTGATGGAGCATTATAAAATGTGGGATAAAATACTTACCTGGGGGATGGTAACCTGCATGCTCATGTTATCATAAATACTTACCTTGTCTTGTAGTAGATTACAAAGATGTTGTTGAGGCAAGAGAGAACCAGGTGGGGCTGTCAGAGCCCTCTCCCCTTTTATTTCTCTAGGCAGTACTTATGTGATACTTACCCATCAGGGATAGTATTCTTCTTTACCATGCTCAATGCTGGAACGGACAAGAGCAGGAGGCAGCAGAGAAAATGGGCAGCACTGCAGCAAATGAGAGAGAACCTCGTAGTTAACATGGTGCAAATCCCTTTCTTGAAGTTTTATAGCTTTACCCTGAAGGACCACAATAGATGTGGTTCCTCCAATTATGCTTGAAACACAGAACTAAGATCAGCTTTTGAAACCAAAGGCCAAGGAGATAGAGTCTTTTCTCACCATTGCTGCTTTAGCATCCGCAAGTTCCTTCTTTAATGGTTGGTGTACTGGGAAAGGAGCACAACTGAGAGAAAAGTAGTACAGCAGCCAGGGTGTTTTAAAATTTCTTTGAATGAATCAGCCCTTTTGTTTTAAAGCAGTTTTATAAACTTGGCCAGTTGGACTTGGTACAGGGTTTCCTGCTTGAGCAGGGGGTCGGACTATAAGACCTCCAAGGTCTCTTCCAACTGTTATTCTGTGAACACCCAGAATTCCCCAGCCAGCATGCTGGATGGGGAATTCTGGGAGTTGGTCCACCACCTTATACCGTAGTAGCCAATTAGAAAAGCACTTCTACAAACCAGCCCTAGCAATCAAGAGGGCCCTCTTTTGATTTGGCTTCATGGCCAAGCAACCGACAAAATGGGAGATCAGAGCGAGCCGGTCAAGACCCGAGGGGCGGCTGTCCTATGACTTTAAAAGTATTGAACATTAAAGTTAGGGTAATGAAACATCTGCAAGAAAACAAGCAAGCTCAGAGAGCACAAAGGACCCTCATTTCAACCCTGAGCTTCAAATATTCTCCTTCACTGGTACATTGAACAATTGGAGAGCGGAGGAGCAGGGAAGAGCTCAGACTGGTCTCCCGCCAGCGGCGCAGCAAAACTGCTCGCGGGGCAGCCGACTTCAAACACCAGCCTGAAGGACGGCGAGACCTGACAGCAGCCATCCTGTTGCGGGGCGCCAGGGACACCCTAACGTCCCAGCAGCTTCTTCGCAGAGGATGGCGTTGGCCCACCACGGTCAAGGCGGCAGGTAGCTTTCGATTCTCGAAATTTGGGGGCCTTGAAGCTACCGAACCTCAGCTTCACGAAGAACTAGAAGCGGGCTGAAGGCCGCGGGCGGATAGGAACTTGGCAGCTCGTACCCTCAGGCAGGAGTTTGTTTCCAAACAAAGCGACCCGGCCCGGCAACAGATAACCCTCCCGATGCTTTTTGAACTGCGCAGGCGCCTCTAACGTCAGCCGGGTGAACGCATGAGCATTGGCGGTTCAACCACGGCGGGTTCTGTACGCATGCTCGCGCGGGTTTGCCCGGTTCTCGAGCCGGCGAGGTCCGAGTCGGAAAAATCCGCTTTGTTCTGAGATGCGTCGGCATCGCCCCCTTCAGGTGGAGGAGAGTTCGTGCGCATGCTCAACGTCAAAGCGGGTGGGAACTAAGTGAGAAGGGGACGTTTAGCTTCTTGGGTAGGGGTTCCGCTTTTTTTTTTTTAAAAAAAATGTGGGCCAAGATGTTGTGAGGAGAGAAAACTAGAAATCGATTCATTTTAGTTTCATTTAAGCTCAACAAGAGGCAGACAGCTAGCAGTGCTGGCTATTGGGGCACAGTGCAGCAGAAAAGAAATCGTCCCTGTTTCTGAGGGGAAAGTGTAACACTTCATTTTTTTTCCACCATTGCATACAGTTATTTCAACAGAAGGCTGCGCATTTTGGGTAATACTGTTTCTTGTACACATTAAGAGCTTTGACAAAATCCAGAAAGATAAAAAATTAGGGCCAGACAGGGTAAAACAATAAACAAGTTCGCCGTGAAAAGGAGTGCACAATTATCCTGTTAAATATTTTGAGAAGAGCTTTGCAGCTTTTTTCCCAAAGGCGGTTTCATATATAAAGCATGCAATGGGTTTATTACAGTCCTTGTTTAAAACTATATAGAATTCATAACTGATTTTTATTTAGTTAATCTCTTGGGCATATTTTTAACCAATTTGCTTCTGACCACACTATATATGTTATGTCTGGGATATTTCAAACTAGAAAAAAATTTGGAAAAGGATTTCCTATGAAGCAGAATAAAGTACTCAACTGCAAAGAATATTGATAGTGGTTGTATATTAGTAAAAAGCCAAATTGAACTGCTTCATATAGAAAAATATTGATAGTGGGGTTTTGTGTGTTTGTGTGTGTGTGTACATATATGTATGTGTGTGTATATATGTCTAAAGTGACACAGCCTCCTGCCTCCCATTTGTTTAACGAGTTAGATTGAAATTGGTGTTGGTATCATAGATCTCTTTGGGGAAGGGCTTAATAATTGGAATGCCACAGGTGGGATGTACAAATGTGTCCTGCTAGCTGATTTTAACATTGTGGCAGGAACATAAGAGAAAGGGGTCTTAAATATTGAAGAATTAACTTGTAATTCCTTGCATCTTTAACTTTAATTGGATGCAAATAGATAATGCCGGACTCAGTTGATGAGCCAGTTGAAGTAGGTTGACTTGGACAGAGGCAGGCAATGGTGATCCTCTAATTAATATGACAAGAGTTAGACTGGCTACCTCGAGAGAAGAACAGTTGGAATCTTTCTTGAAGAGACCCTTCCATATGTTACTGATTGGTTGGTTTATTCATTTTTTTAGAGGTCAGCCAACTTCAAATGACTCTGCAGCTTACAATTTCAGAGCAAGGAACAATAAAAATTAAGAAATCAATCATAGACACCCAGAAGAGAGAAACATATATAACAGCAGCAATAGCAAAAACTTTACAGGGGCTAGATCAAAGCTGAACCAGTGAAACCAAATGCAACAGCATGGATGAGTGGAGAATTCTGGAAATTGAAATCCATATAACTTAAAAGTTGCCAAATTTGGAAAACCAATTTGTTTGGTGTAAGGCCAGGCTTGGGATCTGAATCCTGGTTGTTCTGCCCCATGATCTTCCACATAGGAAATAGGTGCATCTCTCCAGAGGTGTCTGAGGCAGAGGAAAGTGACAAAACATCACAATGCAAACTTCTTTTATGTGTTTATGTGCAATGCTGCAAGTACAAAGTGGAGTTTGAATTGTGATGTTCCAATAACACTTAGATTTATATACCACTTCACAGTGCTTTACAGCCCTCGCTAAGCAGTTTATATTCAGGATATTGCTCCCAACAATCTGGATCCCCATCTTACTGACCTCAGAAGGATGGAAGGCTGAGTCAATCTTGGTGAGGATTGAACCCCTGCAATACTGCACTGTGCGACCACAGCTCTTTGCTGTGTACATTTAGTATTTTGGTATCATTTACAGGAATGGACTCCTATACATAATCCTGCTGATTTTATTCAATCTGAAGCTTTTGATACCATGATCCCTTTCAATTTTTATGTTGCCTTTACAAGATTGCCCTTTATGTTGATATTCCAGTCTTGCATAATTCATTCAGTCACTGCTGCTTTAATTTTTTTTTCTGCCTTTCATATTGTCTAATATTCTTTGAGGAAGAATTTTAAAAGAAGATTCTAATGCACAGGATTTTTTTCAATATAGTGGTGGACAGCAAAGCTATGTAATGTTTTGGATTTGATTTTAAATTTGTGCTTCAGAGAATGTAAGGTGTAACATAACACCTGATGGGAATGCTTTAAAGTAACCGTCCTAGTGAAAGGTGATGCCTTTATGAGTAAAATCCCATGCAAAATTGGTCATTTCTTATAAATAGGTTTTGTAGTTTAGTTTTATAGGATCAGGCTGCAAGCAAAATTTCTGTTACTTTCTGTTTTATTCTGAAGTAGCAATAGCAATAGCACTTAGACATATATATTACTTCACAGTGTTTTAGAACCCTCTCTAAGTGGTTTACAATGTCAGCATATTGTCTCCAATAATCTGGGTCCTCATTTACGGACCTCAGAAGGATGGAGCCCCATCTTTGAGCCCCATCAGGATCGAATTCCTGGCTATGGGCAGAGATAGTCTGCAATACAGCATTCTAATCACGGTGCCATCACTGCTCCTCTATAATATATATAGTGTAATGTAGTGTAGTGTAGTGTATAGTTTAGTGCAGCGGTTCTCAACCTATGGGTCGTGACCCCATTTGGGGTCGAACGACCATTTTATGGGGGTCACCAAACAACGCGATCCGCCATTTTTCCCCCTCAGGGGGCGCCGCTGCGCATGCGCAGCGCATCCGTGTGATAGGGGTCGCCGTCACACAAAGGTTGAGAACCGCTGGTTTAGTGTATAGTCTAGTCTAGTCTAGTCTATATGACAGTACATTCAAATCTATAATTGTGGTGCACTTAAGTTGAAAGAGTGCTGAATTGTTGGACATTTTCAAATTAACACCCCTGGCATCAAACTGCATATGGAAAATTGACATTCAACAGAGTCTAGCTAGTAAAGCCTGTTTTAAGACCCATCACTGGTGATAAGTGCATCCACACATATTTTATCTTGAAGCTCACAACCTACTACATTTTAGATTCTGTGGGGATGGGGTTGACTTATATTCAGTTCTCTTTCTGCAGAAATCTATTAACAGACTCTTCAGACTTCTATAAGGCTTTTTGTGTAATACTTTTAATGATTTTTTTTGTAGATAAAATCTCTTGTATTCAGGCTATTCTAGATGCCTCTTTTGATGTATAGACTTATGGAATATTTTACCATTTGTCTTCTGGATTTTTAATCAATTTTTATGTATAATGTCTAGCTATGAAATTATTATATACAACTTAGTTAACAACATAAATGCTTTCTGTTTAAAGAATGCAATTATTAGATTTCTTCTGTAAAAGCTTGTCGTAGAATCCTCAGAAACACAGTAATAACCCATTCTTTAGCCTCCTGTCATTAAGTGATTTAGAGAGAATGGTATTTTCAACCACAGATAACTCTTTTTTTTAAAGTTGGTACTTAAATTTGGTACTCAAAACAAACAATATTTTTGTCAGTACTAAGTTGTATTCTTGCACATATCATATACCTATCAACTTTGTGATATTGTACATTGTTACATATGGCACCAATCTACTTTTATGGGAAGAATTGACTGATAATTGACAAAACCAAACTGTTCTCACAAATATTATAAATTAGCTGTACTGCTTTATTTGATTTTTGCACAGTACATTTTTATATAAACCTGGTTTCCTATAGCAGGGGTCCCCAACCCCTGGTCTGTGTACCAGTACCGGGCCGCAGCATGCCAGCAACTGGTCTGCACAAACAAGTAAATCCCATCTGTGGGATGCAGGCAGTACATGAAACCACACCCCTTTGGTCCCCAGAAAAACCTCTCTCCACAGAACCGGTCCCTGGTGCCCAAAAGGTTGGAGACCTCTGTCTTATAGTACTTACATTTTCTAATCAACAAATGCAGCTTAAATCTTTAAAATTATGTTGTCTTAAATCTGTTAACAGCTGTCACTTTCATAAAATGATTTGGATTCATGTAGACCATGGTACAATTGTAGTATTGAAGATTTTATTTCCCACTTTTTTTCTGGCACTTCAAAATTTTCTAATATGTTCATGCATCCAATTTATCCAGTTCATTAGATAAATAGTATTCAAACCATGGACCTTAAAACTATACCTTTTTCAGGAAAAGCTAAGTCAAATAAATTTATCTTTAGGTTATTACATATAAATGAAATGCAAAAACAATGACAAAAATTACAGCTGTTTCAAATTTTAAAACAAGACTGAATTTGGATAGCAGTAACATGAGATATGTCATAGCACAATTCCACATATGTACAAGCTACCCTCAATGAACTGTTCAATAACTTTATGTGCAATCAGAAAAATATGCTAAAACATAAATATATTAAAAAGCCAAGGATATAGTCCAAGCAAATTTCTTTTGATTAAAGTAATTGTATATTTTTATTGATTGTCAAGCTGAAATTATTTTTGATATGATATACATATATTTAATAATAATATAATACTAATAATATTACTAATACTATAATAGAGTTGGAAGGGACCTTGGAGGTCCCTCTAGTCCAGTGGTTCTCAACCTGTGGGTCGGGACCCCATTTGGGGTCGAACGACCATTTCACAGGGGTCGCCAAACAAGGCTGTCCGCCATTTTTTCCCTTTTCTTTGGCTACGCCCCTGGCACCCGGTGATATATAAG